AAGTGGTGGCAGCCACTCCCAAAGTTAAAATAATTATCACTCTGACCATATCTTCCCATTCTTGCCCTTCTGAGGTCTTATTATAAGAGAAAACTGTGTTTGTGAGGCTAATTACATAAGAACATAAGAACATAAGAACGATGGAACACTGCAGAAGGCCTACTGGCCTATGCGAGGCAGGTCCAAATCTCCTACCGGCTTAAGCCAATGCACCCAACCTAGTCAGGTCAGGTCACATTGACTTAAGGGAGGAACACGGCAACTGACCTGGTAGCACAAGCTATCAGGTCTAACTCACACCCACCCACATCTACTCATGTATTTATCCAACCTATTTTTAAAGCTACACAACGTTCTGGCCTCTATAACGGTACTTGGGAGTTTGTTCCACTCATCCACAACTCTATTACCAAACCAGTACTTTCCTATATCCTTCCTGAATCTGAATTTTTCCAACTTAAAACCATTGCTGCGAGTCCTGTCTAGGCTAGATATTTTCAGCACACTATTTACATCCCCTTTATTTATTCCTGTCTTCCATTTATACACCTCAATCATATCCCCCCTAATTCTACGTCTTTCTAGAGACGTCTTTCTAATTGCACTGGATCACTAGTTTCATAAGGAAAGCACTGAAACAAAAGTGATTTTCTTGTGTTTTTCTATGATTTCATGCTTTAATTTAATGGATATCGGCCTCCTCTTCTTTTCAGCACTGTCCTTTGCACTTACATGTACTTTCTTAGGACCTATGGTTAGAAAAAAGAAATTTGGCAAAATAACTGCACAAAAAGCATAAAATGCTGGGATGCTGGGTGGATGTTGTGGCATTCGCTGCGCCAACTAGTGGCAGCGTATGTGAAGCTTGCTCGTAACTCAGACTTTGGCTTGCAACTCAAAGCAAAAAATCAACAGAGTGACAGCTCGTAACTCGGAAAACCCATAAGTTGGGGCACTCGTAAGTCAAGGTACCACTGTATTATTATTATTATTATTATTATTATTGTTATTATTGTTATTATTATTACTGTTATTGTTATACATAATTCAGTATCTTTAACAGTGAACTGTGGCCTTCAAGTCAGTGCAGCTAAGCTGTGCCTCATGGTCTTCAGAATGCAACATTCCCTTCTGTTACTGCCCTTTGGCCACCCCCCCACCTGTTCCACTGGTCACTCCTTTCCCCACATGGCTAGCCATCACCTTGTACATTTCTATCTTGACTTAAGAAAAGTTACCTGCTACATTACATTTAAGGTCCAGATGCCCTTCTAAGACTTTTTTTTTATGAGGCAGCAGTCCACAGTAAACTCTCTTAAGTGAGTTAAGTGTATAATTCTGCATTCCTCCTTCCTTTCTGCAGTTTGGATAGCTTCTAGAATGTATTTTTCCCTTCACCCAGGTAGTTACACTTAAGGCAGAGAATGGACTGGTCTCCCAATCACCATGCATACCTCTAGGTCATCACTACCTCCCTCACCTCTGGGGGGGGTTCCTTACTTTTCCCTTACTTTCATCCTGTTCACCATCCTTTTTGTTTTTTGGGGTCCACTGCTCCATCTTCATTCTCTTTCCCTACTCCTCCCTAGCTCCATCTCCCATCCCACCTTGGGTGGACATGGAACAATGCTTCCACATTGTGGCATGCAAAGAGTAAGTTACAATTTATTTGGCGTATGTCACACTCCCATATAGGCTGCCTCCCAACCAGCAAACCGGGTGCTAAGAGTTTAACGATCAATAGGGTACCCATTGTTAAATCAGTACCTTGGTTCATTGGCCAATCACAGGCAAGCCCGCCAAAGCTGAAGCAACATGGTTCACTTGCAGTAAGCATTGGCAGACTTGCCTAGCTGCTGGTTGAGTATGGTGCACACTCTCTGGCTTCTGCCTTGCCATCTGTCACCATGGTGTACACTTACTATTCCATCTGTACATAGTGTACATACTTGTATATATCATCTGGTGAAGGCAAATATACTTTATAGTCTACTGCTGAGTTTTGTTTGCTCCATTTCCCATTACAACCAGGTCTCACAGGCCATTCTTTACCTGTGTTTGTAATACACATAGATCCACTATGCGACAGATGACAGTGTTCCTCATCCAGTTGATCTGTTTTTAAAGAGGCCCTACTTTCTCTTTAACAAGGACAGCTCCTCCTCCCTCCTTTTCCATGCACTTCTGCCACTTTCTTTCCATCCTTATGGTAGAGTTCTTTGCAATTCCCCAGGCCCTTTAATTTGCTCCCTCTCACATTCCTATTCAATTAGTTCTCTTCACTACTCTCAACCTTTCCTTGCTCTTCTGTTTTACCCCCTCCTAGATCTCTTTCCTTTATGGTTTGAGGAACTCAGCTCTTTAGGCCTTTTTTTTCTTCAGAGCCCAGAGACAGGGCATCACCCTCCAGTGCGTCCTGTTTCATATCACCATCTGGAGAAATGATGTCACAGACAGAGCAGCCTTCATATCTCACTCCTTACAAGATGTCACACTTCTTTTCCTAGACAAGAGGGAGCTTGTATTGGGAGTTTGGAAGAAGACGAACCGCCTCTGGCTGGGAAGCCTGGTGATATTCCTATGCTCCTTGGCAATGGGCTCTATTCAGTCCTTTGGAGGACCTTGTCCATTGGTCTGGCACCCCACCCAGGGTAAGGAAAAGGAAACAAATGTGGTATAACACAATCCTTTACTAATGTTTCACCCACACAACAAAGAAATGGATGTGGCCCTGACATGACTGAGTGAGCTACTCCAGATTTCCAGCTCATCTTTATCAATGGATAGTGAACTCTCCTGCCTGTCAGTGGTATCTCATCCACCCAGATACAATCGAGCACTCTTCACCAGTGACCCTAGTTCTACTTGGCTTAAACCCATCTTGCAAGTACTTTGGATCATGTGCCATGAGATGCCTGTCACTCAACTTCTGGACAGAGCTAGCTATGTTCTTCTGAATCCTCATATCAAGTGTTTTCCCTTGCTTGCAGCTTCCTCTATGCCATGGCTCTTTAGGTCAAGTCTGCAAGCTCTGGCAGCCTCTTGTTGACTCAAAGTCTGCATCAACAACAGGCAGGGCCTTTCTAACCTGCCTTCTGTTTCTTATAAAACCACTAAACCCCTTTTCATACCTCCTTAACTGGAATCCTTATGTGGTTTTAGCTGGGAGGTAGGAAACAATACATGTTGCACTAAGAGGGCCCTTAACAACCCCAACACGAATAATTATTATTTTTATCTTCATTACCGTAAATTTAATTATAAAGCTACACAAACTAAATATCCATAGCTTAGTGCTTGATCAAAATGTTATGCATACAAAATGGGCCTCAATCATACTACTTAGTCCCAACTCAGAAGAACATTTTGCATAATTATATTTATGAGCTTTATATTCAAATAATTATAAAATGAGAATATGATTCATTATTATTAGTTATAATTACTGTAAAATAAGTTTGTAATTTGGCTGATTGATTGAGGTTCACAGCATTTTGAAAACTATTTTACCGATGTTTATGCACAACCATCATTTTAATCCATATTTCAGCATACATACTGTATGGTATTTATATATGCATAAAGGCATATCTACCTATACTGTATGTGGAAAATACTGTATATATTTTCCTGATATACAGTAGTTATATGTAAATAGATGGCCATACTGTATTTAATAAAACTTATGTTATCGAAAACGGGAAGCTGTGCCTGCGCAGAAGGACACTCGCCATTGTTTGTTTTGAATTGAGAGTAACAGACATTTGTTAATAATGTGAAGAATTTTCGTGCTCTAGAGGTAAAATTGGGTTGACACCTCTCAAATAGGAGGTGAAATTGTTGGATGTGCATTCCTGCATAATTTGAGTATCAGGCGACAGGACAGGACAACTCCAGGAACCTCAGATAAGCTGTCTAATTTATGTTTAAATTCTGGCCAGTAAATTTTTCATAAATGTAGGCAAAAGGGGGGGGTCCTGTATATGACACATTAATCTCCAGTCAAATTGGTGAGTTTTATGATTAAGATATATTCTCCTTCTGTTATATAAATGTGTATACGTATATATATATATATATAATCATTTATTAATTTTAATATACAGTCCACAAATTTATATATTTACCAGAATTCCTGGTGATGTATCTTTTATTTATAATTAATAGGTCTAGAGCAACTTGTGGATATGACAGTGGTAGGTATCGAAGGGGGACATTTTTTGTGACCTAGGTGTCCCAAATTCCTACTTGTCTATGTAACTCTGATAAATAATAAATAATTATCTTTGTTATCATTTACTGTTATGTACATAATTAGTTACATTCAGATAAATGCAATTTTCCACACTGTATATGTATATTAGGAGAGTGCATACATTTCTACCTGTTCATGATTTTATTTACCTCTGCATCTGGCTCATACAAATTTTATGTACAAAAATAATTTTTCAGGCATATAAAGGCGAGTGAACTACGAAGACTTCAAGTAACTACTAAAGCCGCAAGTAGCATTCTTTACACTAATCCCTAGAAGCATGAAGTGTGCCAACTCTCTTGGGAAAAGCCACTTTTATCTACATTCAGCATACACCCCAGTGAGTGCATCCGAATGCAGTATAACATTATCCCACCATCACAGCCTGGTCAGTAACATGACTTGTGCCTGTCAAGCTAGCTACCACATGAGCCATGACACTCCTATGTGACTGCTCTTCCACTATGTGACTATATTTCCACTAGAAATATAGGATATAGGAATAAAAGAACAAGAAAATACTGTATAAAAACTACTTGAGCAATAACTTAACAAAATAAAAATAAAAAAAATATCATATGCCATTAATAATCGAGGAAATTTACTTGTGGTAACTTGCCTTGCATTACAGATGTAAAGTATTAATATTCTGGTTCTGGCTTCCAATGTACCTTTTCTTTTAATTCACCTACTCTGTAATACTGTATGCCTTACATATTAATTCAAGTTAAAAGCAAAAACCTACTGTTAAAGAGCCGCTGTCGTATTGCTTCGTGAAATGATGAGTCGAGCGGAAAAGATGTAGGAGTATTAGGTGCAGTAAGCGGGGCAATGAGGGATCCCTTTGGTCCACCAATGTCTGGCTGAGAATACCAGGCCCACAATGGAAGGTCCTCAACCTCATGTCTTGTGCCCTCACTGGCTCTCCTTGGAACTATCAGATTTCTATTTGAGCAACTACTTCGAGAAACTCTAGTCCCGGCAATTTCCTCCTCACCCTTACCCTCATGGGGACACCCCATCACTTCACTGCATTTTTTTGACACATAAACAGTGGAACTTGCCAAGCTTCTTCATAATGAACCACAAATACCACCATTTTTTCTCATGTTTACCATGGGTCACTCTTATCTAGTTTTTTCGAAGTTCAAGGAATGTGTTTTCAACTTTCATATAAAATTTTATCTAATGTTAGAGTAATAAATAACAGTAAAACTTTTTGTAAGTAACTATTGTATTCTGTTCTCCTCATCAGGCTACCTGTTTAGTCCTTCAAATCAGATATTGTATTATACATATTTCCTATATCAAAGTTTACTACTGACTTCATCACAAATGTAGAGGTAATTCTGTGTTCACTGTGTTCACTCTTAAAGTTTTCAAATCAAGAAAAAGAGCTTGGGGCAAGATATCCAAAGTGAGGAGGAGGAGGAGCGGTGGGCGTCAGCCTTCCTTCACTACCAGTGTTGTTATGCTGTGTTGCTGTGTACCTGTCGGCCTCCTGGGAGATTGTCAATACCACTGTGGAATGATTCCTTTACCATGAATTTCAAGCCAAATGAATACAAATATTTTTGTACATTCATCAATAAACCCATTTGTGTTTACTTGGAGAAGAGAACATTAAAAACAGAGTAATTAGAATTAGTGTATTCCACTTTAGCTATACTACTTATGAATATTAGGTTGCAAAAGTGTAAAGTAATGCAGTAATTCTAAGTAAACAAACACTTCTAAAAATAGCCAGTCAATAATATATTTATCATAAACTTAAGAAAATTATCCAGGTTATTTAAAAAAAAAAAATTTGTTAATTACAATTTTATCACTATTGAACTGCTAATGCTTAAATAAATTTATTAATAAAAGCTATTACTGTCAAGCCTCTTAGTCATGTGGGAAAATTATAACATTGCCAACACACGACGATGCAACACACTGCCACCACATAATATTACACCTCCTAAAACATTTACTTTATCATCTTTTTTCTTTCAATGCAGTATGTAACAAGTAAATATTTAAAGTAATTAGCTAAACATTAACATTATCAGCTGTGGTAAACACTAACATCCAGAAATATATAAAATTCAGTGCTAAGGTTACTGCAACAAGAATTTATTGACTTATGAACCACAAAAACTAAACTGAACTAGGTACAAACATTCACTCAGTACCCATAACACTTTTGGGAACTATATATACAATATATACACTGGTATATATATTACTGCAAATGAAAATACAAAAACACCACATTATTGCAACTAAACATTCATAACTCCAGCCATTAAAATATGAAAGGTTCTCTAGATATGCTGAACGGTGAATGTATTTGTTGTTACAGGTTGCCATGGAGATGAGGCAATACAAAAGTGAATCCTTGTCAATTATGTATGTGGCAACATAACAAAGACTACTTCAAGATATAGATGTATACTACACAACTACTTTATTATTAAACTTGCAAATACTGTTCAAAATAACCTCTGAAAACACTCAGAAACTAGCAAATAACTCTATAGTCATCTCATTAAAACAAGAGCAGAAGTTGAACCATTTTCATTCCAAATAACATACCAATAATATTTACCCACATGTTACCTGAGTGAAAAATGCAACACAACCAGCCTCTTACAATTTATGAATACATATTGAAAATACAATAGCTAAGAGGGGTAATCTATTTAAGAATAATTTTCAGCAAATGTGGTTAAAATATACAAGTGGGAGGAAGCACATGGTCTGTGATAAGGAATATGATGCAGAATTTAAAAGCAACAAAAATAAATCACCATTAAATAGATAAAGAGAATTAATCATAACATAAAAAAATTATTCCAAATGCAAACAACAAATGAGTAATGGCTGAAGATGTTTAGAAAAGACTGATCACTTGAACTGCGATTTTTTTTGCACTTATGGAAAGACAACTAGGAAATAAGTGAGTGAATATTCCTTCCTTCCTCTGGAAGGAAAGATATTTTTAAAGAATACAGTACATGACAGCATATGTATATCTTTGTATACATACATGTATGTTTTTTAGACACATTGACTATTTCCTCCTACCAAGGTGTGGTAGCCCAAAGAAGAGAACCATTTACTGTTGTTCATTCAACAGCTGTCTCTCTAAACTGCAATATTCCCACAAATCCTTCAGAAAGCAGACACTGTACTTCCTACCTTTAAAACTCAAGTTCAGCTAACCAATTTTTCCTGAATCCCTTCATAAATGTTATCTTGCTCACACTCCAACAGCAAATAAAATACCAAAAACCACTCTTCTCCAATCATACCAATCAAACAAGCAAATGCAGGCCTCCTGGATACTCAAACCCCTCCCACTCAAACCTTCACACTCTCCCTCCAACCCAACCTGACAGTCAATACATACCACCTTTCGTCTATCTTTAATTTATAAAGCCTCTTGGTCAATCTATCTTACTCCAGCCTTTCTAAATGACCAAACTATCTGAAAAACCCCTCCTTCCTCCATGAATTGTAACACTTACCCCACCAAACAAGCTTCTAGCTAGACTTGTCAGTCACTGCACACTCTGAGAAAGGCCTTCCAGTATCCCAAAGCCCCACCCCCAGCCCCCTGTACCTCTGCCCATGCAAAAGGAACAGCATGGAGTAAAGTACGTACAAGTTTCCGAGTCAGTTAATTATAACAATAACTAGCAACTATAAGGCAAGCTTCTCAAGAGGTCCAGGAGCTGGAGATTAATTTCAAGAGACCCAAGAATTTTACTTGTACATGCTCAAAAACCCTTAATTTCAGTGAAGGGCTCTTGATCCAGGGAAATGGAGTTACCTTCCTTTTCACTGGATTAAAACTAATTACAATCTCTCTTATTCACTGAACCTTTCATTGCTTGTTAATTTTAAGTTAATTTTAAGCCTGCCCATAATGCTCTGCATACAAGGGGCTTTTGGCATGTTCACCTAACTACTATAATTCATTGTACAACTATGTATCATGTCCAAATAAATTATATGAATATGAATATATTCCCCAGACCAAACATGTCAGTTGATTTCGATAGAGTTGGGCAGCTAACAGATGCAAATGTTCAAAGTGCCTCTGAAACTGCTTTTCAATGGATGGATTGGTCTCCCACTTGAATAACAGAAAAAATGGATTTACCTTAATGAAATTCGCATATTATTTTGCTATGCTAGGCACATACTAGAGCATAGCATGGTAACAAGAATAGTGAATTGCTGGAACTAACTTAATATTTTAATGTCTATAATAACAATCTATTACTTGTAAGCCTGAAATACATTGTGATACTTAACCCTTAAATGGTCCAAATGTATATATACGTTTTTTCAACATCTGAAAGTATGTAAAAACATGTAGATCTTTTTTGTTTTACATTTGAAAATGTGTAAAAAACTTTTATCTACATTATTTTTTTGTTATATTTTATTATATTATATTTTTTGGGTCACCCTGCCTCGGTGGGAGACGGCCGACTTGTTGAAAAAAAAAAAAAAAAAAAAAAAAAATGTGAAAATATGTAAAAAAAAGTAGATCTACTTTTGTAGCACTATGAATTTGAACGTCGATCTGTTTGGACCGTTTAAGGGTTAACAATTACATATTTTTGATGAGAAATGTTTTGGTTTAAAAAAAAAAAGAAAATTATTCTAAAATGTTATACACAAATATGTTAATGATAATGAGACATGCATTTGAATTCATAAATATGGCATAAAAATACTGAAAGAGCACTGGACTTTGAACTTAAATTTTTTAAATTTTAAAATTTTCAAGGAATATATACACCAATTAAAAAGAAAAAAAGAAAAAAAAAAAAAAAAGAACCTCTGAGACATAACAACATATAAAACATGGTTGGTGAAAAAATGTTCTCAAATTACGGATAGTTTTTTGAAAAATTTGTGTGTACCCATTTAAATTCTGAGCAACAAACTTGTTTCTATTATTAGTTTTACAGATTATAATTATTTTATATACAGTGTACGATCATAATTCACGCAGGTTATGTTCCTTAAAACTGTGCTACCAATAACCTGCCCGACTTATGGGGTCAAAAACATGTGGGAAAAACCAGGTTGTGTTCCTCACACTTCAAGAGAATCTTAACAATATTTTTAGGGTCATAATGCTTCAAAAAATAATAGTTTCTGAACTCTAGTGAGGTTCAGTGTATGAAAAGAAAGAGTACATATATAACTAAAAAATGGCTGCATTAATACTGTAAAGTATCTGATCAAGAAGGTTGTTGATGCTTAACATCCTGAAGTGAGTGGAGAGGGTGGCTGCGGCCCTACTGGACACAGGTTGATGGATGAGGTTGATGTGATGTTGAAGGTTGGGAATCTTGGGATGCTGAGGCAACTTCATCAGATGATAATTGCAAGGGAGTGCTCAGATATTCTGTCATATGCCACTGAATTATCTTACCAAGCAGCTCTTTATACAGCTCACTGTGCATTCTAAACGGGTTTAATTATTCAGTACTAAATGTGCACGAGTTTTCAGGCTGTTCTTCCTCATTTTCTGTTTTATAGCATGATTAGGCTTTTTTCCTAATAAGGCCATCAAATGGAACACCTTTCATCTGTTTGTTTTTCAGTCCACACATTTAGTAAATTTTCTGCTTTATTTAGCTCTAATGACCTATTCTTCACTCTTTACACTGTGTCACACTAAAGATTACTCATTGCACAAGCCTATAACTTCATCTTTTGTCTTGAGTTGGCCTATACAGTGGACCCCCGGTTAACGAACTTTTTTCATTCCAGTAGTATGTTCAGGTGCCAGTACTGACCGAATTTTTTCCCATAAGGAATATTGTGAAGTAGATTAGTCCATTTCAGACCCCCAAACATACACGTACAAACGCACTTACATAAATACACTTACATAATTGGTCGCATTTGGAGGCGATCGTTAAGCGGGGGTCCACTGTATCTTCATCTCACTGATTTTTAACACCAGATACTCATGCTATCTCCACGCCATGTGCATCACCCTTCAGCATCTCAGTTACCTCTAATTTTTGTGAAGTATGTAATTTCACACTTATTTTTCTTTCTTGCTTCACCAGTGTCACCTACACTTCATTTGGATGCCATGATAAATCTCCAGAAATGAAACAGGGTGACAAAAAAAAACAAAAAATTGAGCAATGATATACACAGACCCACATGGGAAGCTGCTTTCATCCAGTCACCCTTCCTTACACCACTAAAAGAACTATGTTCCCCAATGTCTAGTGTCCCGTAGCTCAATTACTAGCACACTCAGCTCTCACACTGAGGTTTTGGGGGGCTGATCCCCAGTACAGATGGAAACATTAGGATGTGTTTCCTTAATGGCACCTGCTGTCAATGTTCACCTATCAGTAAAATAGGTACCTGGGTGCTATTCGACTGATGTGGGTTGGATCCTGGGGCCAAAATTGACCTAATTTGCCCAAAATGCTCAGCATAACAAGGGGCTTTCTATATAGCAGTATGCACTGGTGCCCCCTAACAGAAGTGCGTGCCACCAGTGGAAACGAATTCCACTCCCACACACTTTAATGAAAATGTGCGCACTTCTATTGGTTGGAAACAAATTTAAATTGCAGTACATATATTGAAAACACAAGCTATGATCATACAACTTAAGGAAGGTTTTCTACTCTATAATAATTACACTACCACTATATAATATAATGAATACTGTATGTATACACAGTAATTATATGCCATGGGAATAGTGGGTTAGAATTCTTACCCACAGACATGTCATAAAAGGTGACCAAAATGTTGGGGCAAGAGGCTAGAATCTCTTCTTCTGCATGCTCTTATCAAACAAATCAAAGAAGAAAATTTTAAAACCATGCGAATAAAGTAGAGATAAAAAACAAAGGATTGTTAACATTATGAATGAAAAAAACTGGATATCCAAGCATTCCAATCATTAAGTGAAACAAAGCTATAAGGGGTAAGGGAATTTAACCTAGCTGTGTGTAGAAAGGGAGTTTAGTAATAGGCAATACAATACGTACTTATTTTGAGAAAAAGATGTTTGGCAAAAGAGAGGTTATTAAGGTGATTTGAGCATGTAGAGGATGAAGAGGGATTGGATGACAAAGAGAGTATATAAATCTGGGATGGAAGGTAAGAGAGATAGGGGTCACCCCAGCTATGGTTAGAGCGACGGGGTAAAGGAGATTCTGAGTGCTAGGGGTTTGAGGATCCAACAGACTTGAGTGAGCATGTAAGATAAGAGTGAGTGGAGATAAGCAGTTTTCAATGCTTGACCTGCTGATGAAGTGTGAGCAAGGTAACATTTATGAGGGGATTCAAGGAAACTTTAAGTCTGGCTATTAGCCAGACTTAGAGTCCTAGTAGGATTATTTTTATATTTTAACATTCATGGGAAAGCACTAAACCTGTTGGGATCATACAGAACTGAGGAAATTGAAGACATTCAGGTTTAATTCAAGGAAGTGAAGCACAGGTCCAATTCCTTAGATTATGAGCCCTTCATCAGGATAAAGGACCTTCCTTGGGGGATTGTGAGGCAAGAAGGGTAGTGCCTGCACTCTGAGGGAGAGGCAAGGATGTTGCAGTTCAAAGGGTCACTTTAATTGTCTGCACACTTCTGGCAAGACAGCATAAAACATTCAAGGTTATCTTTAGAATAAGAAACAAATACAATTATAAAAAGGAAAAGTGAGTAATATACAGCTTACCATGAAAAGGAATAAATGGTGCTTGTGGAGGCACTCCGCCAACTGCTTGAGAGTAGCTAGGAGGGGCATATGGTGGAGGTGCAGAGGGTGGAGCACTCGCTTTAGACATGTTATCACTATCTGAAATTAGAGAGAAGATATAAAAAAAAATTGAAGCTGATTGAGATTTTATACAGGGATCAATTGTTTTCTAATGGTAAAACTAATGCTTTATAATAAGAAATGAAATTAAAGAGATTACACCCCTTAGCTTTAAATACTATATAGCACTGTACTTAAATCTCCAGCAAAGCCTGGTTAAAAAACAAATAGTCATTGTTCACCTTTTTCCCTGGGACAGAAATCCACTAATCTTTTATATTGCAAATAACATCCATGCTACTATTCCACAGAAAAAATGGTTATTTGTTGTGGAAATTATTTACATGATGAAAGGCAAAATAAGACTAACTCATCTTTCATGCAATTAAAGAAGCTGTATTTTGATGAGTAAATTTAATAACTTAAGTCAACCTAACTCAAGCCTAAAAGATACCATCCATAAAATTGTCAGTTCGATTAGGATATACTGTACAGTAGAACCCCCAACCCGTATCCACTGATTCGGTATCTGTGGTTTCAGTTATTCACAGTTTACTGCGGCCCAAAAATACAGCTTAATTTTGCATAACAATGGCCCCAAAGTGCAAAAGTTAGAAAGCTGGCAGTTCTTCAAAGCCTAAGAGAAGTCATGAAGTGCTTCCTATGAGTGAAAAAAATTATAATTTTCCACTTATTGTGCACAATTTATCAATTAAACTTTATAATAGGCATGTATAGGACTTATATATAGGGTTTGCTACTATCCACGGTTTCAGTATCAATAGCAGGTCCTTGGAACAAATTCCCTGCGGATGCAGGGGTCCTACTGTACAACAAAAGGGTCTCTTCCTACAGGCATACAATATACATATTTATGTACCGAATCTCTGTTGCGCAACACATTTAATACTCGAGAATTTACATAATAAAAACATACCCAGGAATACTCTACATGAGGGCCCAATTTATACAGCAGGTCAGGTTCCAGGCTACCAGTGTAAAGCAAAAAATCGCTGTAAAGTGAATCATAGTCTTTTTTCACTTTCAAATGCATATGAAAGCCAGTTAACACATTTACACTATCATGTATTAAGTGAGCAATATAGCTAGGCCTCAAAAATGCATATACAGAACACATACTGCTTACCTTAAAATATTTTTGTTCTGTACTATCTCATATTAATAATAGAGTAAAATATTGAATATTTGTATTCTACCACTTTTCATCTGTCTAGACTTGGTGTACATAGTATCGTATCTTGGAAAGGATGCCTACTGACCTGGAAATTTTCTTGGATATATGCTAGATGTAGGAATGAAATTTAAGGTTACAGTCTAGGAGAAGACCTAGAAATTTACCCTCAGTGTGTCTTGAAATAGAGGAACCAGTTATTGATATATTAAGACTAAGATGTTTATTTTGACATGATACATGGTTGTACAGAGGAATACTGTATAATAGTTGGGTGTACAGCCAAAAGCCCCTTTGTATGCAGAGCATTTCAGGCAAATTTAAAGATTAACTTAAGATTAGGAAGGCAATAATAGTTTCATATGGTCATTAGATGAGTTACTGTGAGTACAAGAGAATTGAATATTCTATCAGGTAATGCTAAATGTCTTTGATAAGTCTAGTAGAGAATTATTACACTATTGAATTAGTTGATAAAGATTATACTGTAGTTGGATATTTAAGGCTCTGCTTCCAAACAGCATGAAGTATGTTTTATCTATATTGAGAGTGAGTTTGCTGGTCATCATCCTAGTGGCGTTGTAAAGGGGAGGCAGCAGGCTGCCCTGGGTGACACCATAGAGCCTCTAAAGGTGACACTAATGCCCAAAACAGTGCTGCAGCAACACAAGAGAAAAATCCTTCATTTCTATATAGCCTATTATATGATTACAGGGAAAATCACTGATTTTGATGATGTGATAGATGATTTTGCTGGACTGACGGCAAGGAAATGTAAGATCAGATTCATTGAGATGTTACCTGTACTCAAGGTGAAATTGGAACTAGTGTTTCTCTGATATTGCAATGTTTTTCTTTATTTTTCAAGTTTTTTTTTTTTTTGCACTGTTGAAGATGAATAAATGTAGGATCTGTTGCCTGTACTCAAAGTGGTATTTGAGTTTATGTTTCCTCAATATTACTACAATTATATATTTTATCGTTAATGAAGCTGAGAAGTATTCTCTTGTTCGGTTAATGGCCCTTAAACATTCTCATTGCTAAACACTAGTCACTGGGCATGCAGTAGTGACATAACTGAAGTTTACTCCCCCCATCCCCCCGCCCTTGAATTTCATGGGGGTGACACCAAAGATGCCGCCCCATGTGACACCAACCCTAGCAAAGTATATATTTTTAGCACCTCGTTGTTTACAGTGCTTCTCAGTATAGCTGGGTTTGAGTGGGAGAAGACATAAATAGTGTCATCTTTGAAAACAACTGGTTTAAGGAGTTAGGATGCATTGGGGAGATCATTAATGTAGATGAGACAGAGTGGGCCTAGGACACTACCCTGGGGCACTCCAACAGCTACAGGCTGGATAGTGGAGCTGACTCCATTTGCGTATACATATTGGTGTCTATCGTTAAGATAAGATTTTAGGTAATTGAGAGCATTTATAAAATAGCATCATTTGTACTTTTTTTTGGTCTAAACCCAAACTGGTAGGGATTTAGTATATGTTGTTGGATGAAAGGTAGGAGTAAAGTTGTTTGTCCTTATTACTACAACTAGTGGCATCATTACTACTACTAGTGGTATTATTACTACTAGTGGCATTATTACTACTACTAGTGGCATTATTACTACTACTAGTGGTATTATTACTACTAGTGGTATTATTACTACTACTGAATGTACAACAATGCATACAACCATATGACCTGTCTTTGTAATACTCACTTGTGCTTTATAGTAACCTGTTTACATTAATGTTTTATCACTGATTTCATCATTGCTTAGTTAATCTTAAGTTAATTTTAAGCCAGCCCGTAATGCTATGCATAGTATAAGTGGCTTTGGCATACTGCTCTTACCTGTATTTGTTGTACCTCTGTATGTGTGCTCAAATTTTTAAATAAATAAATAAATAAATAAATACTACTAGTGGTATTATTACTACTACTAGTGGTATTACAACTACTAGTGGTATTACAACTACTAGTGGTATTACAACTACTAGTGGTATTACTACTACTACTAGCAGTATTACTACTAGTAGTATTACTACTACTACTAGTAGTATTACTACTACTACTAGTAGTATTACTACTACTAGTGGTATTACTACTACTACTAGTAGTATTACTACTACTACTAGTAGTATTACTACTATTAGAAACATTGGACGTGTTTCTTTCCACCTGTTGTCTATGTTCCCCATCAGTAAAATGGGTACCTGGGTGCTAGTCGACTGGTGTGGGTTGCATCCCGGGACACTGACCTAATTTGCCCGAAATGCAGAGCATAACAAGGGAGTTTCTATATAGTAGTATGTCATTGTTGTCAGCTAGGACTGTATACCTTGTACATGTACTTGTAGTAAATAAAGATATTATTATTATTATTATTATTACTAGTAGTATTACTACTACTACTAGTATTACTACTACTAGTGGTATTACTACTACTACTAGTGGTATTACTACTACTACTACTAGTGGTATTACTACTACTAGTGGTATTACTACTACTAGTGGTATTACTACTACTAGTGGTATTACTATTAATACTAGCGGTATTATTACTACTACTACTAGTGGTATTACTACTAGTAGTGGTATTACTATTACTACTAGTGGTATTACTACTGCCTTGCATAATAAGGAGCTTCTTGTAAAGTAGTTTACATATGTCAGTCACTATAACTGTATAATATACTGTCCTTCATTTTAAAGAAATAAGTTTATTTGTAATACTACTGCTAGTGGTACTACTACTGCTGCTGCTAGTGGTGCTACTACTGCTGCTGCTAGTGGTGCTACTACTCCTGCAGCTAGTGGTGCTACTACTGCTGCTGCTAGTGGTACTACTACTGCTGCTGCTAGTGGTACTACTACTGCTGCTGCTAGTGGTGCTACTACTGCTGCTAGTGGTACTACTACTGCTGCTGCTAGTGGTGCTACTACTGCTGCTGCTAGTGGTACTACTACTGCTGCTGCTAGTGGTGCTGCTACTGCTGCTGCTAGTGGTGCTACTACTGCTGCTGCTAGTGGTAATACTACTGCTGCTGCTAGTGGTGCTACTACTGCTGCTGCTAGTGGTACTACTACTGCTGCTGCTAGTGGTGCTACTACTGCTGCTGCTAGTGGTACTACTACTGCTGCTGCTAGTGGTGCTACTACTGCTGCTGCTAGTGGTACTATTACTGCTGCTGCTAGTGGTACTACTACTGCTGCTGCTAGTGGTGCTACTACTGCTGCTGCTAGTGGTGCTACTACTGCTGCTGCTAGTGGTGCTACTACTGCTGCTGCTGCTAGCAGTACTACTACTGCTGCTGCTGCTAGTGGTGCTACTGCTAATGGTACTAGTACTGCTGCTGTTAGTGGAACTACTACTTCTAGTGGTACTGCTACTGTTAGTGGTAGTACTACTGCTACTGTTAGTGGTCATACTGCTAGTGGTACTACTACGGCTACTGCTAATGGTACTACTACTGCTGCTGCTGCTAGTGGTACTGCTACTACTGCTAGTGGTGCTACTGCTGCTGCTAGTGGTACTACTGCTGCTGCTAGTGGCACTACTGCTGCTAGTGGTACTACTACTGCTAGTGGTACTACTACTGCTAGTGCTATTACTACTGCTAGTGGTACTACTGCTGGTAGTGGTACTACTGCTGCTAGTGGTACTACTGCTGGTAGTGGTCAGTCGTCACGTGAGGTCACAGACCCTGAGCTGCTTTGGGGATTAGCGTGGACGGTTACAAAGCATGGCTTGCTTCTGCAGTGTTTTAAAAACTGAGTTTGGAGAGTTGAAGGAGGAGGTCTTGCTTCTCCAGGAGGAGATTAGGAGGCTGAAGGTCCACCTCAATGGGCCTGGGAGAGAGTGTGAGGTGGTTGGAGATGTGGGGAATGAGGCTTCTAGCAGTGAGGTGCAGTCTGTCTCTCACTGTGAGGAGGCTGTAGGTGGGGAGGTAGCAACGGGTACCAGCAGTGAGGTGCAGCCCAGCACCTGCTACAAGTGGCGAGTTGTTCACAGTAATGGGAGGCGCATCAGAGTAAGGAAAGTTAAGAGTGAAGATCTGAAGGTAGGAAATCGCTTCTCTGTTCTCCAGGATGAAATGTACTTCAGTGGCCAGTGAAGGTAAGGGTACTACTGCCCTGCTAATGAAGGTAAGCGCATTCTTGTGGTTGGTGACTCTCAGGTAAGATATGTTGACCGTGCTTTTTGTAATAGGAATAAGAAGATGAGAGATAGAGTGTGCTTCCCTGGAGCTGGTGTTGGGGACATTGTCAACAGACTGGATAATATCATGTCAGGTAATGGGAACAAGCCCATTATCTGTCTCAGTGCTGGTGGAAATGATATTGGGAAGGGTAGGAGAGAAGAGCTGCTAGATAAGTACAGGTCAGCTATAGATTTCATTAAGTCTAAGGGAGGGATCCCAATCATATGTAGCATCTTGCCTAGAAGGGGAGTAGGAAATGAATGGTTGTCTAGGGCAATTGGTGTAAATTGCTGGCTAGACAGATACTGCAAGGAACTTGCAATCCCATTCATTGACAACGGGGAACAACTTTTATGGCAAACATGATATGTATGCAAGGGATGGGGTTCATCTCTCTGGGGCAGGGGTGGTAGCACTTGCAGACTCGATTGAGAAGGCCATTGGTGAAATGCCTATGATTTTAAACTGATGGAAGATAGAGGTATGGGTGTGTGTGGGAAACAAGCAGGTTGCAACACTAGGGTTGGAAACAGTAAATGTATAAAAGGCATTCAGCATGAAGTTATAAATAAAGACAATAGAACAGGTCAGAAAACAAAGGGGGACAGCAGAGGGCAGCAAGGGACTAGCTCCCTTAAGGTTTACTATACTAATAGCAGAGTGTTAGAAATAAGATAGATGAGCTAAGATTAATTGCAAGTGCAGGAAACATAGATATTATTGCTATAACAGAGACCTGGCTCAATCTGAAAGATAAAGAGATGCCATCTGAATGTCACATACAAGGCTATAAATTATTCCACACTGACAGGGTCAACAGGAAAGGTGGTGGAGTAGCGATGTATGTCAGAGACAATTTAAATTGTTGTGTTAGACAAGATATTAAATTAGAAGCGTCAGCCACTGAATCTGTTTGGTTACAGCTTCTCGAGGGCCGAGAAAAACTAATTTTGGGTGTGATTTACAGGGCCCCAAATCTTGATAGGGAGTGCAGTAAACTTCTATGGGACGAAATTCGTAAGGCATCTACATACGAAAATGTTGTGCTAATGGGAGATTTCAACTATAGACAGATTGACTGGAGCAATTTGACAGAAATTTAGAGTCGGGTGACTTTCTTGATACGATCCAGGATTGTTTTTTTAAAACAGTTTTGTGACAGAGCCAACTAGGGGAAATAACCTCCTTGACTTGGTTCTTGCCAGTAGGGAAACACTAATTAATAATCTTGAGGTTAATGATGAGCTTGGGGAGAGTGATCACAAATCACTCAGTTTTAACATATCATGGAATTCCCCTAATAATGGCAATCAAGTCTCCGTCCCTGACTTTCGCTTGGCTGATTTCATAGGACTGAAAAATTACTTAGGTGGGCTGAACTGGAATGACCTGACTAGGGGTCAGGTAGGTGGTGATGGTTGCCGATATGATGCTTTCCAGGGCATAGTTCTAGCTGCTCAGTCAAATTATGTTCCAAATAGGGAAATCAGATCAAACAAAAATGATCCTAAATGGATGAACAATAGATTAAAATATCTGATTGGTCAAAAGAGAGGCATATATAGGCAAATCAAAAGAGGAGAGGGGCAATTAAGAAATCGATATATTCAGTTAAAGAGAGAAATAAAAAAGGGAATTAGAAAAGCAAAAAGAGATTATGAGGTTAAAGTTGCAAGAGAATCGAAGACTAACCCAAAAGGATTCTTTCAGGTATACAGAAGTAAGATCAGGGACAAGATAGGCCCACTCAAAAGTTCCTCGGGTCAGCTCACTGACAGTGATAAGGAAATGTGTAGAATTTTTAACACATACTTCCTCTCAGTTTTTACACAGGAGGATACCAGTGATATTCCAGTAATGATAAATTATGTAGAACAGGACGATAATAAACTGTGCACTATTAGGGTCACAAGTGACATGGTCCTTAGGCAAATAGATAAATTAAAACCTAACAAATCCCCAGGCCCTGATGAACTGTATGCAAGGGTTCTAAAGGAATGTAAAGAGGAGCTTAGCACACCTTTGGCTAATCTTTTCAACATATCACTACAAACTGGCATGGTGCCAGATAAGTGGAAAATGGCAAATGTGATACCTATTTTCAAAACAGGTGACAGGTCCTTAGCTTCGAACTATAGACCAATAAGCCTAACCTCCATAGTGGGAAAATTTATGGAATCAATAATTGCCGAGGCAGTTCGTAGCCACCTTGAAAAGCATAAATTAATCAACGAATCTCAGCATGGTTTTACAAAGGGACGTTCCTGCCTTACGAATTTATTAACTTTTTCACTAAGGTATTTGAGGAGGTAGATCATGGTAACGAATATGATATTGTGTATATGGACTTCAGTAAGGCTTTTGACAGGGTCCCACATCAGAGACTATTGAGGAAAATTAAAGCACATGGAATAGGAGGAGAAATTTTTTCCTGGATAGAGGCATGGTTGACAAATAGGCAGCAGAGAGTTTGCATAAATGGGGAGAAATCAGAGTGGGGAAGCGTCACGAGCGTGTTCCACAGGGTCAGTGTTGGGCCCCCTGCTGTTCACAATCTACATAAACGACATAGATGAGGGCATAAAGAGCGACATCGGCAAGTTTGCCGATGACACCAAAATAGGCCGTCGAATTCATTCTGACGAGGACATTCGAGCACTCCAGGAAGATTTGAATAGACTGATGCAGTGGTCGGAGAAGTGGCAGATGCAGTTTAATATAGACAAATGCAAAGTTCTAAATGTTGGACAGGACAATAACCATGCCACATATAAACTAAATAATGTAGATCTTAATATTACGGATTGCGAAAAAGATTTAGGAGTTCTGGTTAGCAGTAATCTGAAACCAAGACAACAGTGCATAAGTGTTCGCAATAAAGCTAATAGAATCCTTGGCTTCATATCAAGAAGCAATAAATAATAGGAGTCCTCAGGTTGTTCTTCAACTCTATACATCCTTGGTTAGGCCTCATTTAGATTATGCTGCACAGTTTTGGTCACCGTATTACAGAATGGATATAAATTCTCTGGAAAATGTACAAAGGAGGATGACAAAGATGATCCCATGTATCAGAAACCTTCCCTATGAGGATAGACTAAGGGCCCTGAAACTGCACTCTCTAGAAAGACGTAGAATTAGGGGGATATGATTGAGGTTTATAAGTGGAAGACAGGAATAAATAAAGGGGATGTAAATAGTGTGCTGATAATATCTAGCCTAGACAGGACTCGCAGCAATGGTTTTTAAGTTGGAAAAATTCAGATTCAGGAGGGATATAGGAAAGTACTGGTTTGGTAATAGAGTTGTGGATGAGTGGAACAAACTCCCAAGTACCGTTATAGAGGCCAGAACGTTGTGTAGCTTTAAAAATAGGTTGGATAAATACATGAGTAGATGTGGGTGGGTGTGAGTTAGACCTGATAGCTTGTGCTAACGGGTCGGTTGCCGTGTTCCTCCCTTGAGTCAATGTGACCTGACCTGACTAGGTTGGGTGCATTGGCTTAAGCCGGTAGGGACTTGGACCTGCCTCGCATGGGCCAGTGGGCCTTCTGCAGTGTTCCTTCGTTCTTATGTTCTTATGTACTGCTGCTGCTAGTGGTGCTACTGCTAGTGGTACTACTACTGCTAGTGGTACTGCTACTGCTAGTCGTATTACTACTGCTAGTGGTACTACTGCTGATAGTGGAACTACTACTGCTGCTGCTAGTGGTACTACTGCTACTGCTAGTGGTGGTACTGCTAGTGGTACTACTAGTGGCACTACTGTTAGTGGTATTATTACTATTAGTGGTATTACTACTTTTGGTACTATTGCTAGTGGTACTACTAGTAAGTTTAGTCAGGTACAGGTACACTTGGTTACATAAATTGTGGTACTGCTAGTGGTACTACTAGTGGTTCTTCTACTACTACTAGTGGTTCTACTACTACTAGTGGCTCTACTACTACTAGTAGTTCTAGTACTGCTAGTGGTACAACTAGTAGTGGTTCTACTACTGCTAGTGGTATTACTACTACAAGTGGAAGCAACCACCTTCACGTAGCTGCTCCTAGCTAATAATGTGCTAGCTTCTCATAGTGTGACTGGTTTAATCACCATTACGTCACTTAAAGTAGTGATAAGAGAGATAAGCCTAGTTACCGAGGTGTGGCGGAGTGGTGAAAGCAGACACTAGCTTCACTACGCTAGTAGTAGTAGTAGTAGTAGTAGTAGTCTTAACACTCAGTTAACATTTGATCTATGACGTCAACCTCACCAAAATAGTTCCAATACTCTCTATGTAACCTTCGTTTTTTTGTTTTGTTTTGTAACCTAGTTAATATCGCATCATAAATGGCCTCTAAAGCTACATCTTCTTGGAGTATATATGTAAACAGCTTGGTATTGATTTATGAATGGGTGAGTAAATGGTAGTGAGTGAGTTAAGGAGGTGGATGAACGCCCACACCAGTGCCTCCTACACTCCTTAATCCCACTCAAGGAAGGTTCCTTGATGCTGGTGAGAGGCTCTTGATCTAGGGAATTGGATCTGTGCTCCAGATCCCTGAATAAAACTGAATACCTTCCACATCCCCCACAGGCGCTGTATAATCCTACGGGTTTAGCGCTTCCCCCTTTATAATAATATATTTTATTATAATAACAGTACGGTGCCTCGTGGCCTGGTGGCTAAAGCTCTCGTTTCACACTGCGAGTGTCTGGGTTCGATTCCCAGCGAGGGTAGAAACATTGGGCTTGTTTCTTTACACCTGTTGTCTCTGATCGACACCATGCCTAACCCTTCTAGGGTAGGGTAGGTGCATGAGCACGAGCCTTTAGCTCATAAGACTCATTCCCATTTGCCCCCTTGGGGCGGGGAAGGCAGACCAGAGAGGCCTAGCTTGTGGCTAGGCCTGGGGACAGTTGGTCCCAAAGATGAGGAGGTACTTGTGCCTCCTCCCATGGGAGACTTAGGTCTCAGACACTCCCTAAAGAGGGAGCCAAGGCCGGGCCACCACTTGGAAAAGGCCCGGGCCGGGAGAATACCGGCTAATCTTTAATAATAATAATAATAATAATAACCTGTTGTCTATGTTCACTCATCAGTAAAATGGGAACCTGGGTGTTAGTGGACTGGTGTGGGTCGCATCCTGGGACAAAACTGACATAACTTCCCCGAATTGCTGTGCATAACAAGCGGCTTTAGTAGTATGTCATTGATGTCAGCTAGGCCTGTATACCTTGTACATGTACTTGTAGTAAATAAAGATATTATTATTATTATCATTATTATTATTATTATCATTATTACTATTATTATTACTACTCGTTGTTTCTTTAGGTACAAATACACATAAGAAAGAAAATTACACAAATTATCGTACATAGTGTAACATGTGTAAATTATCTATGATTACAAAGAAAAAGTCAGTGACTTATTTCCATTGGGGTCATTGAAAGACCCCAGTTAAAATAAATCACTGACTTATTTGGATCATCCTGGGTAATTCACACATTACTATGTATGATAATTTGTGTAACTGCATTTATGTATATCTGTACCTAAATAAACTTACTACTCCAGCTGCCTCCAGTACCACCTAACTTTATTACGTACAGCTGCACAGCTTTTTTGTATTCAGGGGATGAGATGAAAAGCTGAAAGCCACCTGCCTGAAGGCTGGCTACCTTGGACCAAAACGTCTAGCGTTAACTGGTCCCCAAGACACAGGGCAAGTGTAGTACGGTGGTACCTTGTTCCAAGGTTCATAGGTTCGAGTCTCCTTCGACCTGAGATTAGTGTCTAAATATTTCGCGCGTTCCGCGAATTCTAAACATATATACATTTTTTTTTTTCAGCTCACCGGCCGTATCCCACTGGAAATAAGTCACTGTCTGACTTTTTTGGGTTATCTTAGGTTCTCTACACATATGCTGCTATGTATGATAATTCTATGTAACTGTATTTGTGTATACATAAATAAACTTACACACATGTCCCTTAAGGTCAGTGTGAATTATATATATATATATATATATATATATATATTTTATATTATTATATATATAGTACTAAATTAATTTATGAGCATGCTTGTCTATACATGTGCATGTGACCTACTGGAGAGTAGTACGAGGACGTATCTGAAATCTTACTGATTTATGAGTAAGAAGAAAGTAGAGATACCAGGAATCCTACCATATGTATAATTTACAATTTTCAGCTTTCGTTTTACACTCACTGGCAGGACGGTAGTACCTCCTGGTGGTTTGCTGTCTACCAACTACTACTAGGATATATATGTAGTAGTAGTAGTAGTAGTAGTAGTAGTAGTAGTAGTAGTAGTAGTAGTAGTAGTAGTAGTAGTAGTAGTAGTAGTAGTAGTAGTAGTAGTAGTAGTAGTAGTAGTAGTAGTAGTAGTAGTAGGAGGAGGAGGAGGTTGGTAGACAGCAATCACCCAGGGAGGTACTACCGTCCTGCCAAGTGAGTGTAAAACGAAAGCCTGAAATTGTTTTACATGATGGTAGGATTGCTGGTGTCTTTTGTCTGTCTCATAAATATGCAAGATTACAGGTGTCTTGCTACTTCTACTTACACTTAGGTCACACTACACATACATGTACACGTTTATTTATACACATTCATCTGAGTTTTCTTTGATTTTATCTTAATAGTTCTTGGTCTTATTACTTTTCCTTTTATATCCATGGGGAAGTGGAATAAGAATCTTTCCTCCGTAAGCCATGCGTGTTGTAAGAGTCAACTAAAATGCCAGGAACAATGGGCTAGTAACCCCTTTTCCTGTAATAATTACTAAAAAGAAAAAGAAGAAAATTGTCGAAGTGGGAAGTCTGAATGTGTGTGGATGTTGTGCAAATGATAAGAAAAAGATGATTGTGGATGTTATGAATGAGAAGCTGGATGTCCTGGCTTTAAGTGAAAAAGCTGAAGGGGGTGGGAAAGTTTCAGTGGAGAGGAATAAATGGGATTAGGTCAGGGGTTTCAAATAGAGTTAGAGCTGAAGAAGGCGTAGCAATAATGTTGAAGGATAAGCTATGGCAGGAAAAGAGGGACTATAAATGTATTAATTCAAGGATTATGTGGAGTAAAATAAAGGTTGGATGTGAAAAGTGGGTTATAGTAAGCATACATGCGCCTGGAGAAGAGAGAAGTGTAGAGGAGAGAGAGAGATTTTGGGAAATGTTGAGTGAATGCGTGGGGAGTTTTGAACCAAGTGTGAGAGTACTTGTGGTTGGGGATTTCAATGCTAAAGTGGGTAAAAATGTTATGGAGGGAGTAGTAGGTAAATTTGGGGTGCCAGGGTAAATGTAAATGGGGGGCCTTTAATTGAGCTATGTGTAGAAAGAGATTTGGTAACAAGTAATACATATTTTATGAAAAAGAGGATAAATAAATATACAAGGTATGATGTAGCACGTAATGAAAGTTTGTTTGATTATATATTGGTGGATAAAAGGTTGATGGGTAGGCTCCAGGATGTACATGTTTATAGAGGGGCAACTGACATATCTGACCATTATTTAGTTGTAGCTACAGTTAGAGTAAGAGGTAGATGGGACAAGCGGAAGGTGGCAACAAGTAAGAGAGAGGTGAAAGTGTATAAACTAAGGGGGGAGGAAGTTCGGGTGAGATATAAGCGACTATTGGCAGAAAGGTGGGCTAGTGCAAAGATGAGTAGTGGGGGGGTTGAAGAGGGTTGGAATAATTTTAAAAATGCAGTATTAGAATGTGGGGCAGAAGTTTGTGGTTATAGGAGGGTGGGGGCAGGAGGAAAGAGGAGTGATTGGTGGAATGATGAAGTAAAGGGTGTGATAAAAGAGAAAAAGTTAGCTTATGACAGGTTTTTACAAAGCAAAGTGTTATAAGAAGAGCAGAGTATATGGAGAGTAAAAGAAAGGTGAAGAGAGTGGTGAGAGAGTGCAAAAGGAGAGCAGATGATAGAGTGGGAGAGGCACTGTCAAGAAATTTTAATGAAAATAAGAAAAATTTTTGAACTGAGTTAAACAAGTTAAGAAAGCCTAGGGAAAGTATGGATTTGTCAGTTAAAAACAGAGTAGGGGAGTTAGTAGATGGGGAGATGGAGGTATTAGGTAGATGGCGAGAATATTTTGAGGAACTTTTAAATGTTGAGGAAGAAAGGGAGGCAGTAATTTCATGCACTGGCCAGGGAGGTATACCATCTTTTAGGAGTGAAGAAGAGCAGAATGTAAATGTGGGGGAGGTACGTGAGGCACTACGTAGAATGAAAGGAGGTAAAGCAGCTGGAACCGATGGGATCATGACAGAAATGTTAAAAGCAGAGGGGGAGGGGATATAGTGTTGGAGTGGTTGGTACTTTTGTTTAATAAATGTATGAAAGAGGGGAAGGTACCTAGGGATTGGCAGAGAGCATGTATAGTCCCTTTATATAAAGGGAAGGGGGACAAAAGAGATTGTAAAAATTATAATGCAATAAGTTTACTGAGTATACCAGGAAAAGTGTACAGTAGGGTTAAAATTGAAAGAATTAGAGGTAAGACAGAATGTAGGATTGCGGATGAGCAAGGAGGTTTCAGAATGGGTAGGGGATGTGTAGATCAAGTATTTACATTGAATCATATATGTGAACAGTATTTAGATAAGGGTAGGGAAGTTTTTATTGCATTTATGGATTTAGAAAAGGCATATGATAGAGTGGATAGGGGAGGAATGTGGCAGATGTTGCAAGTATATGGAATAGGTGGTAAGTTATTAAATGCTGTAAAGAGTTTTTATGAGGATAGTGAGGCTCAGGTTAGGGTGTATAGAAGAGAGGGAGACTACTTCCCAGTAAAAGTAGGTCTTAGACAGGGATGTGTAATGTCACCATGGTTGTTTAATATATTTATAGATGGGGTTGTAAAAGAAGTAAATGCTAGGGTGTTCGGGAGGGGTGGGATTAAATTATGGGGAATCAAATACAAAATGGGAATTGACACAGTTGCTTTTTGCTGATGATACTGTGCTTATGGAGATTCTAAAGAAAAATTGCAAAGGTTAGTGGATGATTTGGGAGTGTGTGTAAAGGTAGAAAGTTGAAAGTGAACATAAAAAGAGTAAGGGAAAAAAATTTGAAAAAAAAAATTTGGAAAAAAAAATTTTTTTAAAAAAGGGGGGGGGGGGAAAAAATTTTTGGGGGGGGGAAAAATTTTGGGGGGGAAGGCCCCCGGGGGGGAAAAGGAAAAGAAAATTTTTTTTTTTAAAAAAAAAAAAAAGGGGGGGGGGGGGGGAAAAAATTTTTTTGGGGGGAAATTTTTTAAAAAAAAAGGGGGGGAAAAAAAAAAGGGGGGGGGTTTTTTTTTAAAAAAGGGGGAAAAAGGGGGTTTAAAAAATTTTAAAAATTTTTTTTTTTAAAAAATTTAAAAGGGGGGGGGAAAAAAAAAAAATTTTTAAAAAAGGGGGGAAAGGGGGGTTTAAAAAATTTTGGGGTTTGGAAATTTTTTTAAAAAAACCAAAGGTTTTTTGGAGGGGGGGGAAAGGTTTTTTTTCGGGGGGAAAAAAACCCTTAAAAGGGGGGGGGGGGGGGGGGTTTTTTTTTTTAAAAT